CCGTTGCCGTGGGCGACCAGATGGCTAATTGAGCACTCTGTCATGTCACCTCCCTTCACAGGGGACTGAGCCAATCGGCGCAGGCCAGACTTCTCAGCTGCCGCCCCCACAGACATCACAGTCCCATCTTAACAGAGTCCAGCTTTAGGGGCCCAGAGGGGTTGTTTAGAAAGCTCACAAAGGGAGCCTTGTTACAACTGATACCACATCAAGCCACTGGCTTATTTACATTTTGTCAATCTGAATGGTCGACAGTGGAAAATGTGTGCATGTGCGTCCGCGTATGTGTGTGCGTAGACTCACTTCCCTGGAATTTGACTGCGAAAATCATATTCCGTGTATTTATGATGCCGTAATTGGCAGACATATCCTCTGTTAGATTCACAGCTAGATTACAGATGCTGCTAACTAACTTGGCACGGCATTCCTTGGCATCACATCAAAAGTATATTACTTGTTACGAATAGCCAAGAAAAAAGGCCTGTGTCCTGCAGAAATGATGCTGCTGCTGTTGGGATGTTGCTTTATACGAGCTCGGCTGTAAATGGATGAAGGATGACGTGCATTTGTGAGCTGTTTTTCAATGTAATTTTCCCTTGAAGTCTTCATTGATATTTACTTGATAAACTTGGCCAGAATCACAGTTATGTAAAGAAAAAATGCCAAAACTGATGCATGTTTATTAATTAAATCATTGATGGATTATTAATTAGCATTAAAACTTTTTTATACTTCTTATATTTTGTTTTTTTTTAAATAACTTGCTAAAGATTAATTTGGCTATTGCAGCTGATGTTAGTGCTGAATAATGTAGTAGCTACAAAGGTGATGTAGTTCTTGCCTGTTGACCAACAACAATCCATCCAAGTTCAAATGGAGCATTTGGATTTAATAAGTGGATTTTGTACTGAAGGCTAATTTTTAAACATGCTATTCAGGGTGGGAACTACTTCTTCTTGGACTCTTTTGTGTACCCTATGATGCATCATGGCCCCTAGAACCATAATTATATAAATATGCATCTGGCTGGGGGCCCATTTAGCTCACCTGGTCGAGGCTCAACAAGGCTCAACACAGTGGCCTGGTTTAAGTCTTGACTGGGACCCTTCTGCTGCATGTCTTCTCCCACACCCATCGTTCCACCTTCCTGTCTAATTTTAACTGTCCAATCACATAAAAATGAAAAAATGCCCCTCTGTGTATTTTGTCAGCTCCTTCTTTTAAAAACACAATGAAAATTCTCTGAATTTTTAATATTCTTTTGACTTTTATCCCCGTATTAGATCTTTGAGCCTTTAAAGCATGCAAATGCCCCTGTGAAGTCTGAGCGTGTAGGTTTTCTCCTATTCAGAAATGATACTTTTCACATCTACGAGTCTGCAGGGGTCATAAATGTCGTCATCAGAGGGTGAACATGAGGCTCCGTGCAGACGTTGTGTAGTACGTCTATAAGGACTCTGCACTGCAGAGGCACCGACAACACGTGGTTCCTGCACGCAGACTGCCAAACAGAGTAATAACAACAACTTACTCAACCATGGTGTCTGAGGCTCTCCAGACGGGAGCATAATCCCAGCCTTAATGCAAACTGTATGACGTGAACAAAGCAGCAGCTGCAGAGACTTGCAGGAAAAGGGAGGTTTGATTTCCTACTTCTATAGAAAAATGAACATAGACATTATGACTGAGGGAACACACGAGCATTATTAAGTGGACAAAAATAAGCTGAACGGATATTAAGTCATAATGTTTTTCTCGTTTTGTATTCACCTTTAAGGCAGAGTTCGATCTGTTCTTATATCTCTGTAACATTGGCTAACAGTTTGCTAATAAGATGCTGCAGTAACACAGGCCCAGAGACTCCTCGATGACCCCCTGATAACCGCTCGTCTCCAGGGGGGAAAATGCGTATTCCCTTACCAGTTGCGCGTTTGCTTGCTGTCGCTGCACAAAAACTGGCATATTAGAAGAGGTGTATAGTGCTGCACTAAAAAACCTCTTTGCAATTGGTTTGGTCACCAGCAGATTACCACAGTGTCAGTGTTTCCATGGAAGATGCCAATTAGTCTGTTATTACTCACCAACTATTTGCTATATGGTTGTGAGACTGTAAAGAGAGCAATGGAAACTGCGAATGGACGCACCATTAATTTTCAAAATAAAAGCCGTGGCTTTTGAAACCTATTGGTTTCAGTGGTCTTCAGTGTCACTGTGTTTAGTTTTGTCCACATTTTGCCACGTTTTTATCAATTTTTGCTACCACTTGGTGATCAGGTAGCAATTGTTTGTGAAGGACTTGGCAGCTTCTTAACAAATAACGCGCTACAATAAGAATGCACTACTGACCAAAACATTCGTAAGGTGGTTTTCCTGTCCAGTACCCTGCTTGCAAGTGATTACATCTAGCAATAGCCTAAGTTTGTTTCTTATTCACATTTCTCTGTGTATTTCTAATAGGTTGCTTGTTTGTTTTAATATGAGAAAAACATATTTTTTATGTTTTGATATGTTTTTATGCCTTTAGAACCCTTTGAACGTTTACGTTTGACATGGATTTGAAATTGCAATATATATACTGTCCTTATTTGTGTTTGAGTCTATAATTACATTTCAGTTTTTAGAGATTCATGGCTTGTTCTCTTCTTGGTTTCTTTGCACCACTGAAACAATTTTGGACAGTAAAAAAAATGCTTTCTATAGAGACGTATGATTTTTGCTGTAGTTCTTAAATGCTCTGTAAGTTGGGCTTCTAAATCCTTTTTTTATTATGTGCTTACTTGATAGTTTACTTCAAAGCAAAGAGTATTAATGCACATTTGAACACAATTAGCTCGTCTGACATAATGAAACTACACACATAACGATGTTCAGAATAAGCTTTCTTGTTAAATTAACTGGCTGTTTTTTCGCTGGGGAACGATACGCCGTCCTGAGAAGAGGCATTAGTGGTGTTACTAAAGGGTAGAAATGTCACTTCAATCAAAAGTGGTTTCAATTAAAGTTATTTTACCTTGCTTGATGAGGGAGCTGGAGGTAGTGAAGATAAAATCTGTAAGATATTTCCAAGGCTTTGGCAGAAAATTGAACCCCAGAATTGAAGCTAATTGAATTTGAGAATGATAAGGTTGAATGTGGGGAGCTCTTGAAGTTTGCGAGAAAAAGAGAGAAAAATGAGTGACTTCTAATTTTAATGGACAAAGATGAAGCGAGGACACAGTGTAGAAATTATTCGGGTTTTTTTAACAGATACAGCACGTGGAGGACTCTGCCACGAAGTGCTCTCACAATGCTGCGTCTTTGACTTTGTCACATGGTCACTCTCTTTCAATGTCATGAATAAATAAACACCAACTTGTATAATCACTTTTTATGCTGCTTGTGAAAAAAAAGAAGATAATACTGTGCTGCTTTATTGATGCCCACGGGAAAATGCTTTCCATATGTAGGTCAGTGCACGAGTTCAAGAACAGCAATTGTGAAGCCAGTGGGGATTCATTGTCTTGCTTGTGGGTCCTTCAGTAGTGTGAAAGCCTCCCAGAGCTGGATCGGGGATTCACATATTCAGCTTGAAGGACAGACTTTTCAGTCAGGTATTTTATACGGATGACACTGGGAGAGAAAGCTCGAATCACGCGTGGGATTGGTGTTATTTTAATCTAAAACACTTTCCACATCCCAAATCTGAACAGCAAAATGAGATCTCAGCAGTGATTGGCATGCACTGGAGGCTGGTGTTAGGGGATCTGTTAGAATATCAGCTAATGCAAGCAGTGATTGTCATGTTAGCGTGTGTAGTGGAGCCACTGTACTATGGTTAGAGGGCAGACGCATCACCTTGTTGCCCCTTTCAGCAAATGTTCTTTGCAAGTGAATTATTTACTGAGTGGAATTCTACAGGAGAGAGATCACAAAGTTATTGAATACAGTATAAAAAATTACCCCAGAAAACAGCTTTGGGTGCACTCGGTTATTTTCCCATTGCCGATAACTTCGTCTATTTATGTGATTTTGCATATCGTATGATTGTTAAACCAATTTAAATGCTCACTTATTACGTTAAAACAATTCTTAAAAGCTGCAGTAGGCAGAGATCTAGAAAAGCTGAACCAACCGAAAGCACCACTGGACAGGAAATGGCATTTGCACTACAAATTAGGCCACACTCTCACTGGGCCACACTAGAGACTGGTTCGCGACCCACTGTAAACCTTTCCCTGACCGGTTGGTGAGTGGTTGCTGGAGGTTGCTGGCTATTGGTAGATAAATTTGTTTGCAAAGAGGTATACAGTGGTCTACCAAAAAACCTCCTTGCAACTGGGTTGGTTGCTAGTGGATTTCTGCAGTTAGCCATAGTGTGCATATGTCAACTACTAACCAAAAATGGGGAACAGTCGCCTCAAAGTAAGCTTTTAAAATTTGTTGACTCCAGCGGTAAGTCAAAAGTTTTGTTCAAAGGGGAACATTTCCCATTTCTGGACTGTCCTGCACTTCTTGCACTTTAACCACCACTTGGCAAGTGGTTGGAGAATGTTTGGCATTTTGCATGCAGAATACAGACAACCACGGCAACTTGCTAGTGATCAAAGCAATTACTAGGTTTTTGGTGCAGCGATATATATCTTTGTGACCAATTGTACTGGCTGAATACCAGCAACCTACAACAACCAGGAGTTCAAACCCTAATCTCTCAGGTGAAAATGTCATTGGCTTTACTCCATTGCACCACAGCTTCTTACTTAATACTTCATCCCTCTGGGCCTCTACTTCACCTGATCTGATCTCTCTCCGGATACTTGAATAAAAGTAATAAGTAATTATTATTTTTTTCTCCAATGTTGCTTAAAAAATCTGATTACTCCAGCTTTAATTTTGCTTTGCATCCCTTGAGAAAAAGGTAACATAAATGGCAGTAAAGGAATGAATGAATAGACGGGTGCCATTACATTCTTTGAGGAAAACCATTTCTTTGCTCATGTGTTCCTCCTCTGCTTCCCTTGTAGCTTTCCCTCGACTGGACCAATGGTCAGAGAACGCCTGCCTGCCTGAGGCTTCCATCTTCATGGACGGTTTCCTCTACATCTCATCTTCATCTACCAAGGCGACGTTGGACCGTCGCGGTAGGGATGGTGAGTCAAAATGGCACTTTTGCAAATCACAGGCAAGTCCAATCCATCCATCAGTCCATTTGTAAGCAATATAAGCTGCATGTTTGTCAGAGGTCTCCTCCAGTTAAGCGCTGATCGATCAATCAGTGTCAGTCTGTCAGCTGTCAAACTGCCAATCGTTTAATCTGTACAGCAAGCAGTCACAGTCACAACGATCAATGAATTTGTCTTTCAAACGAGTTCTTCCTCGTCCTCTGGGAGGTCTTGTCAGACACAAGTATGTTAGATGAATCATCAGTGAATGCACTACGGAAGCACGGAGCAAATCTGACAAAAAACTACAACAAAAAAACTAATTAAAGAAAGAATTTTAGCACAAATCCGTTGGAAATGTACCTGAGATGCCTTCTCCAAAACTTCAAATTTCTCTTTCTTTTGTCTTCCAAGCGAGTTTAAAACTTTTAATCAGCTTCCATTTCTCACCCAACTCATCAGCTGCTGCTGAACCTCCTGCTCTGCAGTGGTCCCACTTCTCCAAACAGCTGGAGCATTTCTGGGGCCCATGGGTAATTAGGAGAAGGAGCCAGCTTTGGGTAATGCCTCTGGGGAAGGGGGTTATTGGGAAGGTGGAGGAGTGGGACGAGGGATGGGGGAGAAACACTACCTGCCACTTGAATGAGCTAAATCTCCTTCATGTTCAGCATGATCTACCTCCATTTCCATTATCCCACACATGCACTGCTCTCATTGGCGGTTGTACATGCTGGCTAATGAACAGGGCTGAGGTCTGGGGAAATTGCCTCTTAGAGAAAATTGTGGAAAATTTAGCCGAGTATCTCTCGAAAAATCTCATTATCCGCACAAATGAAATTCATTTTCATTTCATTTGTTAAAGGATAATTCCAGTGTAATGCAACTTGACTCTTAATTTCATAGTTTTTGGCCAAAATTTGTATTAGCCATAATAACGTGGTTACTCACCGAGGAAATTGGGAACAAGGTGATTTCATTGCAAAAGAAAAAAGCTCGACAAGAAACCAGAATGATCAAATGACCAGTTTTGAAGTGTATCTGAAAGGGGAAAAAAAAGTCAGATTAATTCATTTTTTTATATTCTGGTCATGTTGTATCAACAGAATGAAACTAGATTTTGTAAAACTGAATTTACAAATTTTTATTATTTTTTATTCATGCCTTGTTCTTCATGTTTTTCATTAAAATAGAAATGAAAGCAAATGAAATGGTTAAATGTTATTCTGTAACGCTATAGAGCAGGGACGGGGAACTTGTTCTGCAGGTTTTAGCACACCTGAATCAAATGATTAGTTCATTACCAGGCCTCTGGAGAACTTCAAGACATGCTGAGGAGGTCATTTAGCCATTTAAATGAGCTGTGTTGGATCAAGGACACATCTAAAACCTGCAGGACACTGGCCCTCGAGGCCTGGAGTTCCCCCACCCCTGCTATAGAGCCTTCTACGCATTACACATAAGGCCATGTCCACACTAATACATTTTCGTTTGAAAACGCATCTTTTTCTCTCCGTTTTGGCCCTCCGTCCACACTGAGACGGCGTTTTCACTCAAGGAAAATGCAGCGTTTTGAAAACGCTCTCCAAAGCAGATACATTTGAAAACGCAGTTTTCGCCTCGCAGTGTGGACAGCGAACCCGGAGCCTTTTCGAAAACGATGACACATTTTAGTCATGTGATGCAGTCATGTGACCAATTAAACTAAGATAGCAGAGGGCATTATACAGCAGTTGTTTTGTTTGCTCTGAATCTTGACAGCCTTGTTAAAGATTAATATCAGTCTGTACATGCGTCAGATAGCTTTTCTTCAAATTCTTTAATTCTCACTCGCTTTTGCAACTTTGTACTTTTGTGTTACTCGCAGCAACAACTCCACCTCATTGTTAGTCAATTTAAAAAACTGTGCTTTTCCTCGACATTTTGCTGCGACGTTTCAAAGAGCCGGAAAGTAAATAAACGGCAGACAGAAATGAGGCAGGTAAATGCGCAGTAATGGAATGTAAGTGTTTTCGGACATTTCAATGTGGACGCACAACTCTGTGAAAATGACTGAAAATGATAGGGTGGATGCGGAAAACACTGTTTTCAAATTTATCCTAGCTAGTGTGGACGTAGCCTAAATTAGCTGCTCAGCTATGGATATGCGTGCTATGAGGCTCCCGGTGCACAGTTTCTGTGCTGATGTTAATGCCAGACGAGGTTTGGAAAGAAGGTGGAGCAGTAGCTACTGTTACTCATTGTGCACCTCAGGAGTTGGTGAGCACATCTACATTCACAATAAATGACCTACCAGAATAGGTCATTACTGAATGTCGGTGGACCTGTATCTGATGAAAATATAAAATGTTAAGTTGTTGTAATAACAAGATAATTTTTAAACTGCATTGTACTGTCATCTTAGTAAGAAGTCATAAATAACCACCCCAAGCTGTTTAATATTGGCTGGTGTTGTTTACGTGAATGCTTTGCCAAAAAATACATTGATGTGTCTGCAGAGCAGTGAGAGCGGCTCTAGACTGTAGTGGTTAACACGTTGGCTTGGTAAGCAAAAGGTCACTGGCTCGATCTACCCGCTGTAGCCATCTTGAAAGTAACTTTAGTTAAGTATATCTTAAGGTTACAGTCTCTGCTCGAGGCCATACCACCCTGAGCATGCCCAATGGTTGGTACTTGGATGGTCGCTTGCCTGGGAATCTTGTGGCAGCTGTGGCTCAGGATGTAGAGCCGGTCATCTATCCAGTGCCTGCTCCAGTCTACATGCTGAAGTATCCTTGGACGTACTTTGACATGAACGCAGAGTTGCCCCTGATGTATCCATCGGAGGTTGTGTGTGTGCGACTATTAGATGAGGTGCTTGGATATAGAAAGAAAAGCACTTGTATGAATGTGACTGAGTGAAGGAGGCTTGTAGTAAAAAAAGCGCTTTGAGTGCTCTGTTAGCGTAGAAAAATACTATATAGTCACCACTCCATTTACCATCTTGTATCCTAATATAAAAGCCGAGATGGAACGTGAGTACATGGGTTGTTGTTCCACATACAGCGGGTGTTTCAGACAGAGTACTACAGGTGCCCATTTTTGTTGGTCACTGTCGTGCATTTTATACCACTTGCAGTCGCCGCGCCATCTCCTCAGATAAGTGCTTGTGATATTTCCTCCAATAAATACCTTGTTATTTCATCAATTATAGAAAACCACGCAGACACAGCTTTTGTGCTTTAATGGTGCTTTAACTGCAGCTGCTGAAAAATTCAGAGGGGTTGGGTTCAAAACTCGGTGTGTTCCAACTTCTTCAATCACAAGGAAACGCTGTCAGGACTTTGCGAGCGCAGAGGGGTGAGGTATTTTTGAATGTGCTCTCCTGGATGTCTTTTGCTTGCAGGCTAATGGTTTGATGGTCTATAGATGCACCAAAGTCCTTAATAATTCATACAGTAGCTTGTGCTCATGGCTTAATAAAAGCACTCTGCCACAGTGTCTTAAACTTCACCTTCTTTTTTTGGCTTGGAGAGAGCTCTAGTGAGCTGTTGTGCTTCCACTGATGGGAACTAGTATGTGTAAATTAATTTGGCAAGCATTTTTGGTAATGCCTTTGAAAAGGTGGCTGGGGGGCGAGGACCAGTGTGCTGGCCCACAGTAATGAAATAAAATACAACGCCTGCTTTGCATTTGGCAGCATGTTAAGTCAAGACACTGCTGCTAATATAGATTAGGGTTAGAAAAACAAATTTCCTTGTTTAATTTAACAGCGCTCCACCGTCCTCGGCAGCGTGGCACCACTTTACCTCCCGCTTCCTGTTGTGTTTGAGCTCGGCTTCATATCCGGTTTGTACAGTTGATTCCAGCGTCAATTAAGTCCTCCCCCTTCGAACGGGCCGAGCGGTGACTCATGCTACTCCCACACTGAAGAGCGTGCACTTCTCCGTGTGCGCTCGTGTGAGTCCTTTGAGGGGAAAGCGAGACAGTTAGTGTCTGAAATGGTGAGTGGCAGCAAGGAAATGGCATCCTCAATTTTGTTTGATTAGTTTTGTCTTTTCCCTCATCAGCAGTGCTCTGTTTTTTTCCCTTTCCCCAGCAACACTAGCTCAGAAGAGAAGAGAGAAGAGACAGATGTGGAATTACATTTTACTGAGGACAGAAATCTGTGTGGACAATTCAGTTACTTGCAGCTACAAAGTTAGAGTCGGGTTTTTGATAGTGAACCAAATCTTCTTTGTGGTTTATGGTAAAAATTTGCTTTCAAAGACTGCTTAAATAATTACAATTTCTAAGTAGTCACATTTATACTGCTCTGTTTTTATTTCACGAGCACTAGACAAAGCCCATTGAAACAATTTGTCTTAATCTAATGTACTTTTTGGGGTGTCTGTGTTTATGTAACCGCGCCTCCTGCCTAAATGAGTAAGCAGTGCTGTTGCTAAAGCCAGAAATACATGGCAGATAGTGTGTATTTTTTTCCCTTTATCTTATGCCATATCTGTCCATTCCTCCCTGTAATGAAGTGGGCTGTAATTCTGGCACAGACAGATCGTTCAGATCCCTTCAGTTTCTCGATTTCCATTTCCAGCCCCCCTGACAAGCTGTCCAGCAGATGTCTTCATCACAGATATTTTAGTCTGATGGCAAGATAGACAGAAGATTGGTGGAAGGGGTAGAGGTGGGAGAGTGAGCGAGGGAAGAGGTTGATTCAGTGGAAGAGGGGCACAGCCGGCTATTTCGATGCATACTGAAATGGGTGCCTGCGCCGCGTCGATAAAAAGTTTCGGGGGACTTTTTGGGTAAATCTGGGCGAGCGCGGTTAAAAATAAAACTTGATACACATTCAGAGTTAAAACTTTTGAGTAAACTTGTTATTCTATAAATGCGGCCCATTCAGTCAATGAACAATAAGACAGTTTAAATGCCACATTGACTGGCTGATTTGTCTAATCAGCCTGCTCATCGTGCGCTCTTGGAGCATTTAGCACATTTCACAAATTGCTGTAGTG